AAGCTTCTTAGATACTCTTAGATTAGTAATTTGAGGATAGATGTTCTTGTGATGATGACTTCCAGATTTTGGGGATAATAATAGTTGTTGAGTTTTTAGAAGTTATTGAATTGATTTTTATTAATGAGTTTAAGTCTTCCGCATTACTTTCTGTTTATATTATATTGAAATGTTAAGGTTTAGATTGGTTGGTTCGCTCACATAGGAGGGTAAGTGTGGGTGCCAGTCGCGGCCCGATTTGGGTCGTGACACTTTAATTGCAATTTTAGCCATTCTATATCTTTGTCAATCTAATTTTTATCTCATCCATCCATCTTAAAAAAAATAAATCCTAGATCGAATCCTAACCCTTCATCTCTATCTAATCTAACGGTTGTGATAAACTCTCATATTCTCTCAACATCTAAAATAATCCCTAAAATTTTTCATTCACTTCTTCTCTCACCCTCTCCTACTCTCTCCAGCCGCCCCACCTCTCTCTCTCTCCATTCTTTCCGGTGGAAATCGTCAACCCCAAGCGAGGCGGCGACGCCCCTCTCTCTCTTGTCGTCTTCCCTCATTCTCTTCCTCCCCCCTCTCCAAGCCGCCAGCCCTCCTCTCTCTTCCTCCCTCTCTTTGGCAGCTTCCCGTCGAACCTCTTCCCTTCTCTTCCTCCCCTCTCTCCAGCCGCCCCCCTTCTTCTCTTCTTCTCCCTTCTCTCTCCCCATACCAGCAGCTCCGACAACGCCAGCCAGGTGAGGCCACGGCGAACAACAGCTTCAGCCGGCGAGCAGCAGCATCACTGCTCTTCTCCTTCGCTCTCCTCTTCTCCTTTTTCCAGAGAAAGCAGCAAGAAGTTGCAGCAACCAACGAGAGCTGCGCTCTTCCTGTCTCTCCTCGCCTCTTCTTTCTCTTCTCTCTTCCTTTATTCTCCACCTTCTTTTCTCCATCGCCGGCAGCACTCAGGCAAGCTGCCAGGCAGCGGCGACGCAGCAGCAGGCCATGGACAGCAGCCCCCACCGGCGGAGAAGACATCGACCAGCAGCCTCATCAGCGAGTAGCAGCAGCGCCAGGCAGAGCAACTATGAAGCAAACGACAAGCTCAAACAATGGATAACACGAAGCTCCGGCTTAGTTCAAATATTTTGTGGTCGTTTGTAGACGGATCTCAACAGATCCGTCGCGGTATATTCTTCATTCTATTACTATTCGATTTGTTCATCCTATGATTTATATATTCTTGTCAATAATTTAACTTTGTTCATTATTCTTGTCAATAATTTTGTTGATAAAATGTTTAAAATTATAACTGAATTGCTGGGTTGTTATGCTGATTTAGTGAATTATTCCTTGATGTTTTTTTATGTTAAGAAGGCATGTGCTATGATATTTTGATCTGATTCTAGTTTATCGTAATAGTTCTGAATAATTATGACTCGTTTGCATACATTGTATCGGAATTGGTTTGGCAAGAAAGGCATAAATGGGTTGGGTTTAGTGATCCCGTTACTTTTAAATTCTCTTTAACTATGGTAGCAAAATTAAAGTTTCTTGCTTGTCTGATTTGTATAATATTGGTTAATCAATACTAAGGTGATTTTATGTTTTTGTGCTAATTTGGAACGATTTTGTGTCTCTTTGTAAGACAAGTTTTCCTCATTATTTGTTGGCTATTGTTAATTGATCATAATTGGCTTAATTCAAGTTGAATTGGTTCTTACTTGTATTATTTTAGGAAAAGTTATATTTGATTGAGCTGAAAATAATTTAAAATATTTTCTTATTTTAAATTTTTTTTCTTTGTGAATAAATATTACTCCATATTAATTTATTCTTACTTGTTTATATTTGGTAATGAAATATTTTAAAATTTTCTGATTTGATCCTCTTTTATAATAAGGAAAACAATATATTTAATTGATTCCTTTAAATATTTCTTTTCCTTATTTGTTTCCCCCTCCTTGTTATATAAATAAGACTTCTTTTATTCATTAAAAAAAATAATAACTCAGACTTCAACAGACACTCATTCACTCTCAATCAAAAAAAAAATTCTCTCATCACTCTCTCTTCTCTCATTGCTCTCTTGCTACTCTAACAATCCGGTAAATATTCAAGTGTTCTTCTTCGCTACTTTAAAAGTTGAATCAATTTGTTTTGCTTAACCGGTTAGTATTCTTAACATTTATACTATCTTTACATTCACATATTTGTGTAAGCTATTGTCTGTTTTTTTTTTATGTAGAATTCGTCATTAAATAATTGCATATTGTCTCACCTTGACTAATAAGTTTGATTACTTGTGTAGTTATTTGATTACTTTGACAGGTTTCAAACTTGAAGTTCAAGTTGAAGATTAATTGAAGAAAGATTTATTTGTTTATTTGAATGTGTGTTATATATATATATATATATATATATATATATATATATATATATATATATATATATATATATATATATATATATATATTTTATTTTTTTTGCCTATTTTATTTATTCGAATGTTGTAACATTTGTAACTCTAAAGATCATATATATAAATTTATTTGGGGGATCGTCTAGGGGAGGGGGTAATAAGTCTAAAAAATAATAACTAGATTCCATTAACTTTTGAATGTTAAAATCAAATCATAATAATTTAGTAGGCTGATTAGGTGTTATAACTTTTAGCATTGTCCTGTCATGCCTAAAGATTAATTTGTTCATATTATTTAAATCTACAAAATTATGCATATATGTGTTACTTTTTTTTGAACACCTAGAAATCATGTCTATAGGCTTGTAATTAAACTCTTAACATATCCATAAAAAATAGAACTTGTTTGTGCATATTTGTGTCCTCCCCCTAAAATTAGTTAATATTATTTAATGAATAATAATCCTATTTGTCTTCTTGAAGATTTCCGCATTCCTTGCAATATGTTATATTCTTAAAATAATAATGATACTAGAATCATTTCATGCATTTAACAAATTATTTGGCTTTAAATATATTTCATCGTAAAACCTTTGCATTTAATAAATTTACCACCTTAATGTTTTACGTAGTTTTTAGTACTTACAAAGTTTTGCAACATAATTTTCTTAAAAGTCATTATTCAATCTTCCTTTGAAATTTTGGATTGAGTATGACGTTATTTTGAAATAAATTACAAATACTATCTCCTAACCTATCGTTAGTAGGAAAGTCAAAGGAACTATGAGGTCTAGTTCCAATTTTTAAACCGACGCGTCCCCGGAAGTACCACCTACCCATGAATTTCAAAAGAAATTATGTGCATTTATATGTAAATATTATGTGCCTACGTGTAAACTAAATCTTTTAAATCATTTTTCAAAAACATAAACTATTTTTAGAACGACCTCAAATCAAAATTGTTTCTATGGTGGAGGAGCGCGATCAACAATATCGTGGCATCATCCCTATAAAGAAACAAACATTTTTTTTAATAAAAAATTTCATATTCAAAACTTGCAATTTTCAAAACATTACTTTCGCACATACTAATTGCTTAATTTTTGCTAATTTTGTTTATAACATAGTCTCATATGCTTAAATAAAAAATAAAATTTGATTGTTTATTTATTGCTATCATCTAGCCTTGCATGTTTAAATTAATAAAAATAATAAAATTAATTGTTTTTTATATTTGTTATCACTTAGCAAGATTAAATAAATTAAATAAATAAATGACCTTGATTGCTACTTGTAACCCCACATATATTGCATGAGATACAGTCGGGACCCACGCTTGTGGACCTCGAGGGATGCCTAACACCTTCCCCTCGAGGTAATTTGAACCCTTACCCTAATCTCTGGCTCGTTGACCTTAGTTAGACTTAGTTAGTTTAGATAGGTGCCCTAACGCGCCTTAACTCGTTAGGTGGCGACTCCAAACTCGAAAAATCCCAAAAGAGTTGTTAGGTCGTGCACAAAACCCATTTTCTGCGAAAATGGAGCGCGACAATTCCTCCATTGATGGATTTTCACCGAGCGTTATTACTTTATTAACCATCAAATGAATATGACGCACCTATCCAAAATAACAAAACTTGCCTCAAAATTTAAAATTAACCCATTAAGTCCATCGAATAAAATTTGACAGAGAATCAAACATCTAAGATGTTTTTGAACATGACTCGAATAAGAATGAAAAAGCCATATACGAATACATCCACCTAAAGGGAAAATATTGGAATAAGAAAAATGGTACTCAACAATCTAGATTCTAGTTATAGTTCGGAAGAAATCATTTATGCTCCAACAATTAATAAGCTAATATCAAACTTACCATTATTTCGTATGTCGTCGCATTAGGCATGTGACCTTGTTGTTGTTGAAGACTCGAAATGCGATTACCGATGATAAAATGAGTAATACGTCTAAACCAAATAAGGTATGGATCATCATACCAAAGTGATCCATGAAGGATTGGTGAATTCCATACATATTTGTCAATATGGTTCCAAAAATGCAACCATTGTGCATGCTCTAACTCCCGATTTGTTTTTGATCTTCCTCGACGATCATGGTTAAAATGTGTAGCGTCAAATGCAAATGAAGATGGTATCGCATGTACCAATCCAAATTGCCTTATAACTCGATCGGGTAAATGAACCTCAACAACATCCCAACAAAAAATTGGAACTCTACCACGCCATATGTCTCTTCCAACGCGGCAATATTCGGGAAGACTCTCAATGATGTCAGAAGAATATGGTTTCCAAATAAACTATAAAAAAAAAGTATTCACAAAGACTATATATACGAAAGTTAAGAGAAAATTAGTACAAAATCTTACCTGATCTTCTGTCATGGAATCCAGCGCATCCCTGAAAACTCTTAACACGTGTTTGGTAGTGTCGGCCCAACAAAAATGTGCATATCATCTAGAAGCATGTGGACCCCTTGGTAAACCAACAGGGAAATTATTCCTTGTATCTCTTTTTGCTACAATCTGAGGCCTAAGGACGGTAACTCTCTCCTATGCCCAAATCTGAACATAATAGATAATTATAAACTAGATGAAAATTCAATAAATACTAAGTGTAATTATTTAGTATACCTGAAGTAGTGGTAGGAATCCAACAATCTCATTTTGGCTACTTTGGGAGGCTTTACAAAGAAAACGATATAAATATGTTAGGGTTGCACTACCCCAACAGTAAGACCCTAGTGTAGTGATATCCTCCAGCATAAGCAAGTACATAAGCTTTAAAAGACCACTAGATGTGTCTGCCAATAGTATACCAGCAATCATCCAAAACATATAACACCTAGCTTTCTCATTGACCATATCCTGTGTTCACAAGTCGGGTAATCGTGGTTGAAGTCGCAAGTGTGCATTAAGTGCAGAGACCTTGAGACTACTATGTTTTAAGTCTTGAGGTTGTGGACTAAAACCTAATAACCAATCCGCTACAGACCTCTGTGGCTCATACCCAACTGGATTACCTTTCACGGGTAAGCCATACAATATCTCCACGTCCTGTAAAGTGATCGTACTCTCACCCGTCCTAAAGTGGAATGTATGAGGCTCAGGCCGCCATCTCTCAACTAGTGCGGTGATTAAGCTACGATCAATAACAGGCGTATGAGACCTATAAACACCATATAATCCAAATAGTTTAATCACATCTAGGAGTCGTGGATGAATGGGATGTTCATTTACTAGGTCACAAAACTTCCTATCACATTTCCTTGTGTTCAAAATCATATTATCATTCCCTATCCATATATCTCGTGACCTATGAGTGAGCTGTCCAGTTAATAAGACGGATCAAGTGGACCGAGATCCAATTGGTATGCTTTATTAGCAGCCATAAAATAAATACCTATACAGATGTAAGAATACAACGTAACTTAGAAGCTTTCCTCAAATACTTCATCAACCACATTTTCAATCATATCAATTAAAATATAAGCTTTACTATAAGAGTCACAACTCGCAACTGAGAAAATTGAATATCTTCACTCAAATATAGTTTCAAGTACATATAATTTCTTATCATATATGTGAGCTCAATGTCTGAAAAGGCTTAAATGATCTGAGGAGAAGTTCACTTCTTAGACAATAAATTTGTAGACACTATACACCAGCGAAATTTTTTTCTGAAACTTTTTAAAGGATAGCTACAAATGACACTCTAAAGAACAACAGGCATCCCAACAAGACATTGAAACAATCAACTTCACATGAGCACAAGGAAGCAGTAAACTGTTGCTACTATTAATATTTTGCTAGTTATCATAAAAAGAGGAAAAAAGAACTAAAATGTCATTTTTCAACAAAAAAGAAAAATAACAAATTCATCAACTATAAGATAAACTAAATCAATGTATGACAAAATTACCTGAATCACAAAAAAAGCTCTTCTTTATCAAAGTTTTTTTTACCTTTTTAAGAAAATCTGCAGACGTTTTCAAAGTTTCGAAATTTCACCTCCAATCGTTTTCGGTGTGTTTAAACTACAATACCGATCAACACTCTCAAATCCCTTGTATAGAGCAAAATAATTTCAAATCGAGTAAAGATTAAGCATCAACTATGGAAGAGCAAGAAGATGGGTTGGTCTTCCAAATTCGTGCACTCTTCAGATACAGCATTCATCAACTTCATTGTGTCTTTGGACGAGATTTGATGCGAGCTCTCTTCTTAATTTTATCCCGTGTAACTTGAAGGTAGGTTTGGAGAATGAAGTGGGTTTCCTTGGAGGGTTTTCTTCCACAATTTTAATATAATTAAATTATGGTTTTTTTGTTCTAGTGTAGGATTAAATGATATATGCTTAAAACGTTCTTTCCAATAACGTACTAGAGTTAAAACGTAATTTCTAGGTATGTATTATTATTTCACGTCGTTAGCAGTCCGTCTCTTTTCTCATTAAAATTTATAAAATAAAATAATTTTTTTAAAATAAATAAAGTATAAAACATTACTGTGAACCACGTTTACACTAGTTTTGTAAAAAAATAAATTAAAAACATACTATTTTGATGAATCGATTTATAGAATGACTTGTTTTGGTCAAATATTCAAATTTTTACAAGTCACTATTCGTATAAGTAATTATTTTAACGAGAAACAGAAAACTTCTTCTTCTTCTTTTTTGCGCTCTCCCTACTATTTGATATTGATGTTGGCCAGATTAAATATGAATTCTCTTTGAAGATACTTTCACCGTCTCATTTTATGTGACGTTATTTCTTTTTTAGTCAGTCCCAAAAAGAATGTCACATTTTTCATTTTAATTTTAAATATAATATTATAATACATTTATGAGGAAAGAGAAAAATAAATTTACTTTTTTGAAGGGCAATCTAATAAATATTTAAAAGTGTTCATTAATTTTCAAATTTTGTATTCGATCAAATAATACCACATAAAATAAGAGGAAAAAAATATTTATATTAGAGATATAACGCTAAACTATCAAAAATAATTTTAGATCATAATTCGAATGTGAAACCTTGATTAAGTAATAAATTGCCTTTGTGCGCATTACATAAGTAATAGTTATTAACTGTCGTTTATTTTCAATTATTATATCAAAATTCAAAGTACTACAATTACCTAAGGTGGTTCTTTTTGGGACATTGTGGGGCATCAATGAAAAAGACTAGCTAGACCTATTGTTGATTGGTTGGAAAAGTCTAAATGAGGATAATATAAACCTTTCAATTTATGTGGATAATATTGATGGGATACATAGTAGTGACAAATAAAAAAGGAAGATTTGTAAAATATAAAATCTAAAATAAAATAGAGATAATAATGTAGCTAAAATCATCTTATTTCAGAGAAAATGAGTATTTTTAAAGGGGAAATGTTACAAAATGTAAAAAAAGTCCTTTTTTTTTAAAAAAAAAAAGCTAAGCGGAGAAGAAAGAGCAATACATAAATTAGAATAAAGAAATTAGGTCCTTATTTTGTCAATCACTAGAATTAATTATAATTTGAATTTGAAATAATGACCTCACAAATATACAAGAGATAATTGCTCGTAGAGTTAACACCCTTCACTTTCAATTCTAAATTATATATAATGATGCACATTTTCAAATATCTAACAGCAACCCTAAGACTCTGTCAATTCACTGTATCCGGTAATAATTGTCTACTATTAATTTGACATACATTTTAAGAAATAATAACTAATAGGAATAATATTACTATAATATCCTTTGACTTTATTAAATTTATGTTGTGAGAAATGTATTAAATGATAAATAGTATTTGATACCAAGGGTTAATAGACAAAATAAATTATCTCTTCATTTTCTAAATTGGACAAATATTGTTAGATAACTATTATTAGTATAATGGACAACTATTATTGAATGGAGGTAGTAATAATATAAATTTATTTGTGGTCCTCATGCATATAATAGTATATTCCCTTCGTCTACTATTGTTTGTCAAGATAAGATTATGCATAATCCTTAAGAAAAATTTAATATAAGTTGTAATTTGATTAATATAACCATATTATCAATGATTATTAAATTGGTTTGAACTTTTTGAAAACGATAAAATTAATTTCTTTCCATTAAATAAGTCTTGTAACTTTCAAATTGCTATTTTTTGAAACCACTAGTTATGTAATTATTAAGGGCCGAATTGAAAAAAAGTGATAAATTTTTTCTTAATTGTTTAAATTGGCAATTAATTTTGAATAACTATTTTTAATATAACTGACAAATAATAGTGGACACAAGAAATATTATTTTGTTTGTATTGATTTTTATGCTTTTCTTCGGAAAGTCTAACTCAATTATAGTGAATTTTTATTTGCAAATAAAATTCAAGTTTAGCAAATCAAAGTCTTCGTCAATACATGACAAGTCACGGTGTTCTACAAATGCAGACAGATGCCTTAAATATGAGGGGCTTTTTTAGCAATAATATATTATATGTACTTTTAAAAATAAAAATAATTGTATCATCTTATTTTAATTATTTCTGTAAATTCAAAAATTCTTTACCTTTTTTTTATTGAACTCCAAATTTCATATCAAGTTAAAAAAATAGATAAAAAAATTGAAATAGAGAGCACTACTTATAGAAACAATAATTTATTTAATAATAAAGAAAAAAAATAATTGTGCATCTCAAAATTAGTTTTTAAGAAATATATCAACAACTTTATATTCTAAAAATTTAAGAATAATAGACATTAGTTTTTTTACAAAAATAACATTATTATTATTATTCAAAAGATTAAGACCTCAAATTTATTTTTGTCTTTAGGCCACCAAAGTATTTGAGTCTCTTATTCTAATATGAACTTAACTTGTTACTCTTCTCCTTTCAAATTATTTGTCGTATTTTTCTTTTACACGCTTTTGACAAAAAAATTATAAATTAGGAGGAGTATTGAGTATTTTATCCTTATATAGGACTTGAAAAAAAATTTATATTCATTGAATATTTACTTTATATATCTTTACTTCTGTGTCGTCTCCATATAATTAACGTGTTTGTAGTTTTCAAATATAATTACAATTACGAGTAAAATGAAAAAATGTAATTAATTTTAATAATATAATTAGTTTTGTTCTCGAATTTTTAAAGACTCATTTGAGACAATCATTTTCAAAATTATACTCCCTCTATTTCATATTAAGTGAATTTTGGAATATCACACCCCTTAAGAAAAATATTTTAAAAACATAAATCAAACATTGTATTTACCTATCCTTTTTTATTATTCTCAAACTATTTTTCTATAAAATATAAAGTAGTTAGAACCTCATCAAATTACAAATAAAAATAAAATATAAAGTAGTTAGAACCTCGTCAAATTAAAAATAAAAATAAAAGAGAAAACAAATTAAAATTTTCTTTTGTACTTTGAATATGTAATTCACATAAGAAAAAAAGTTAATATAATTCACTTAATCTGAACTAAAAAAGTAAATATATATATATATATATATATATATATATATATATACT